CAAGCAGGAGCTTGGCTACGATGACTTCCACCTCACTCAGGCCACGTTGGAGCATGTGATCAATTTTTTGCCAAACTGCTGCGAAAGAAGACGATTGATTATTATCGATGTGTTACTTCTTATTCCTATTCCTACAGTAGTACCATATGTATACACTTATAACTCCTCCGTATCACCATGGTTACAGGAGGGCGTATTCCTCATGTGCAGTTCTAAGCGGTCTTGTCTCTCAATCGATGATGGAGATCTGTGTTTTTCCCTCAGTGAGGACTTCGGTACGCTGAAGCACCAAGCGATTTGCTCTCCTAGAAGTCCCCAAAGACACCCACATATATTTAAGCAAGTCCGCTTAACACTCTGAGCGCGTCCGTTACCGCCGTAAAATGCATGTGCGTTACATATGTGGGTTTTGGAGGGAGTTTTGGGTCATCCCTGGAGTCGGCTACGCACTTCCCTTGAAACACCTCGAGAGTCTGTTATCAACGTCAGATTCGTTGTGCGAAGAGCTCGGGCGGTGTGGGACTTGTGTGACAGGAGTCTGATCCCACCTCCGTACCTCATAATAGGCATCGATAAGATGATGAATTGCTATTATCCTGGCCTGTGGGCGATATTCAGTTATTCCGTATCACAACTGTATTATTAGCGTGATCAGCCGGCGCCCTTGGTGCTAATAAACGTGCCGGTTATATCATGTACAGCACGCGATAAAGAAGTCGCAACCCAGGTTCAAGCCCGGGCCACGACATTTCTTCGGCATTTTTCTACTTCGCGCGACGCCTGTTGGTGACTTAATCGGCCAGGGATGGACCACGCTCTCCGTTGAGCTCGTCCAACTCGCTTCCCAGCACCCACCACTGTTGAGCAACTAAGCATGATCTGACTTTGATCAACGTTCAATTCATTGGACACGGTCAAAGAAAGAACCATGCACTAGTTTGCGCGGGGACAAGGTCGCGTATCTATAAGAGCGGGCCGGAGGCCCGCGAGACCCCTAAAAAATATAAACATTTTTCCGAGTGCTACCCTCTGGACCACTTTTTGCTACGGTCTGGACCACCGGCCCCCACCACAGCACAATTGTACGCATGCGTTAAAAGATTCTCGTGGGTGCTTCGCAATCTGAATAGACGTGTTGAATAGACCTCTCCTGAGCTTCAAGAGCGCTAACTCCGGGATTATATTTAACATCTGAAACTCTATCGTAAATGTTCCTACTTGAGGAGAATCGTTGATTGCGAGTAGAACTAACAATGTCGCCTGCTGATCACCACAACGAAGGGTCGCAAGACCCCGTCCCATCGGCCCCTCCAGAACAGCCACAACAACAACAGGGGGGAACTGCTGGAGTTGATGCATCCACTCAGAGCAGGTATGTGCATAATTTCATCGAGTTTTGATATTCCATAGAAACTGCATTTCATCTTTTTTGTGTAGGTGTCCTTTGCTGCCGTTAAGTAACGCTCCCCAACAGATGGAAATGATCGACCCTCCGCGAGGCCCGTAAAACAACTTGTATAATATTTTCTATCACACTGAAGTTTCACCACCCGTTTTACGTGAAGTGGCGTCGTACAACTCGGTGAAAAACGCGATATTCGCGGTGATATGCAGTAGTCGTGAAATATGTTTCCCACTAGTGTTTTTCATATCACTAGGGTGGTAAAGGAACTCCATTATTCTCAGATACTACAACACAGCAGTAGAGCAAGCATTCACCAACAGTCCGTGGTCGGACGGTTTATGCGACTGCTTCTCAGATCAGAGTTCTTGCCTATTAATGGTACTCGTTCCACTCTGGCCAGTAGGTCATCGATCAATCTATTCATGATGATAATTATGCACTCAAGGTGTTGATGCATCAAATTCTCACCAGAGCTCAACCTCGCGACGAGCCGTATCCTCTGGGGCTCCCCTCGCCAGCAGCGGTGTCCTGGGTGTAAGTTCAACTGAATTTCTCGGAAAAATTTTTATTTTTGTCCTACTCTTACAACAATGAGCTTCGGTGACCGCATTTTTTTATCCTATTTATATTTTTTCCCTGTAGTATTTGAAGAAGATATTATGCATAGTTCTAGATGTGAACTATGCATAAAGTTGGACAACTCTTAAGGGGATATTATGTATACTTCTAGATGTGAACTCCTTGTAAAGTTGGACAACTGTTAGCGATGTGCGACTCGCTCTTCATGCGTTGTCCGTTCAGTTTGAAGAAAACTCGTTGAAACTAAAGGGGTTATCTGCCTCGAAAATCTACATATGCATAACTGTTTGGTTCGCACTGAAACAAAAGGGACATAACAGTATCTCTTTCAGGTATGCTGTGGCGGTGATTGCTGGTCTTCTGGACATCCCTGGCCTCAACTTCGCAGGATGGGTTATATCAGTCTATCTCATGTAGTATCTACTGGGGAGATCTATTATTGTTCAATAATGGAGTTTCTTGACCCTAGTGATATGGAAAACACTAGTGAAAAACATATTTTATATTTCACGGTGAAATTTTCACCCCGCGAAAAACATATGTGAGCAGTAAATAACGCGTAAAACACGTGAAATGCTGTGGGGGTTTCACGCCCACTGGGGTGATCTTTTTCCGGTGTAATTCGCGAAGTGTTTTCAATTCACTTCATATCGCGTTCTTCACATGGAGTATTACGCCACTTTGTGTAGAACGAGTGAACCTCCAATGATGATGAGTTTACATATTCCCCTCGATATTAATAAGTAAAATAATGTTAACCCTATCTATTCATAAAGGTTTGTATATCATTCATAGTATCTACGAGTTACTAGGGTATATTATTATTTATAATCATCACATTATATTTGATGAATATCCCGCACTGTATGATTATCGAATTACGTTGATAAATAGCAATAATGGAGTTTCTTGACCCTAGTGATGTGAAAAAAACATATTTCACGACTACTGCAAGGTGCAAATATCGCGCTTTTCACGGAGTTTTACGACGCCACTTCACGTAAAACGGGTAGTTGTGAAACTCTAATAATAAAATACCTACAAGTGATGAAGTGTTATTGTTAATTCAATTTCCTATCTGTCCTATACACCGCTGAATTCTATTTTATGTGTTGACTACCATTCCTTGCATTAGTAGTTCTCAAGGAGTGGTATGACCATTTTCAGGTACGACGCCGCACGAACTGTGGTGCGGTTCTACAACATTCAGGACCCGGAGAGATCTACTCCAGTGTGGCTAGTTGTAATACAGGGATGTACTGTTGGTTACTATATTAAGATTGCGCATAACGTAGTACTACTACTCGCATGTTATCGCTACTATAGTTGTTTGGAGTATCGCTGCCTTAGTCTTAGACTATAGATGAAATTAGTGATAATAACAAAGTTGAAATAGCAAAATATGGATGGTCGTTATCATTGGCGAATTAAGGCTCGAGAGGGTATTTAATTGGAATATATGTCTGCTTTCCTCAACTGAATTCGTAAGTTCTCTCACTACAGTATGAAGATCCACACACGATCTTGGATAGAAATTTACGCAATAAAACCGATGATAATACGCCACAATTTTCATATTGTTATGTAGTTGACCATGTGCATATATCCGCCCCCCCCCACCAGCAGTCCGTTTGTTCAGGTGAAGTCATTATTCTGTCAATGTTGTCTTCTCGGGCAAGTGGCACGTCACGTGAATCGAGCTACGGGTTTCGCTCAATCTCAAGTGCTTATCCACCATCATCTACCGCAACCCGAGGTGAATTTCGTGGCGCGCGGTAATTTTATATTTGTGATTTCAGGTTAATAGGGAACCGCGTGATCTGGAGAGAGCTGAATAGATAATTTTGAGGAGTGCAATGAAAATTGTTCATATTTAAATATCATGCTCACCCGTCGGTCCTCGCTAGCATGCGAGTTCGTCTCATCTTAGCTCAACTTTTCTACGATTTTATGTCGTTCTGTTTGAGTTGGCATAAGAAGGGAATGCTTTCTTTTACAGATGGCGTAGAATTGATAAGCCTGTTTGTTTTGTGAATCACGACAGATCGATGTAAAGAAATTCGCATGACATTTTAAATTGCGATTCAGTGGTATTGCCGTATCACTGAGAATGGCGGTGAAAGGTCAGTGAAAAAAACCATTGAAGAGGTTTCACTCGAAAATAGACCACAGTCAGTTCATGGTCGCAGTACTCGCGGACAAGCGTTATGGGGCTTACTATGATAGAAACCCAGGACGAAATAGCGTTCTCCAGGATTCGATAACAATGGGGAAAATGTTCCCAATGTGATTACATTCACACCGAGAGCTGATTGAAGAGTGTTCCGTGGAAAATCCAAAATAGGTTCCTGGATAATTCTCTGATAGTGGAATATAGCTTTGATGTTCTTAGCTTAGCTCAGGAGTGTGGTTTGATGGATGGTCGATAGTGGGCCTCACGCACAGGTTGTGTGCGCCACAGGTGCCTGCGTGCAATCATGTGCACGCGTGTTTTTGCTCGGGCCGAGCAATGGCCAGTCCTTTATTCGTACAACCCAAGTCTGAGTCGTAGTAGACCCCATCTCCATCAGATTTATGTCTTAGTAGTAAGTTATTGACCTTGAGACTTAATGGCATCTTCACTGAGTCGTGTTCATGAGGCGGAGCCCGGTCAAACTCTCACATCTGGCTCCGATGCGGGGATCCTTCCGCCTCTGTGCGACATCTTCGTCATCGAAGAGGGCGCCGCTGACCAAGCCCAGGTTTTGGACGCCCTCTCCATGACCCCCGACCCCGAGGTCGGTGCAGATATACTCTTGAGGTGCATAGAGAAAGCCGTTGTCGGAGGAGGTCCTCCACGGCTAGAAGCTCTGGTCGAGCAACTTGCACACCACCTGCTCGTCTCTCCAGTCGAGGTGGTCCCTGAAGCGGTGAGGTTGTACCTCGTGGACCTTTCCCCAGAAGAGCTGCCCAAGTATGTGGACGAACATCTCGGTTGGGCATGCAGTCGGGCCGCGGTCGGCCTATTGCCGCCCGAGACCTCACAAAAACTTCTTGACCTCCTCCCCCCCATGGTGGTCTACGCTGCCCTTCAGAATGAAAGGCTAGCTCATTTTCCGGGAGCTCAGACTCTTACCCCCTTGTACCGTCGCAAAAACCTTTCCTCGCTCCTGGAACTAAAGAGCTCCGAAGCGAGCCCCTTCAGCGAGGGGTGGACCGCCCGCCTTTTCCAACGGAGAAGCGAGGTGTCCAGGCAGACCGCCGGCGGCCCGGCTAGTCTTCAGCAGGCGGCTCCTGCTCAGCACTTCCATGGTTTCAATCATCGGTCTACCTCCTCGCCCCCGCGCAGGTCGGTTTCTAGGGAGCGCGGAGAGATCTCCTCCGGGCGCTCCCCGGGGGCCTTGAATCTAACGCCCCCGTCTCACGGATCCCGGGTGACCTTGAGGCCGAATCCGGACGCCATCTCGAACGGGGACCGTAGACTGGCCTCTCGGGATGCTGATAAAGCATCCTCAGCCTTCAAGGGCGGTCCCTTCAAAGGCGTCGATGACAAGCGCGGACTCTCAGGCAGGGTTGTGCAGGCCCTGTGAAATTTCGCGTTCCGCAAATTTCAATTTCAAAAATTTCATGAAATTTCAGCGGTGCGCTGAAATTTCGCGAAATTTTGAAATTTGAAGATTTTTGGCTAAAATTTGTACTTTTTGGGGCTTTTCACGCTCCCCAACATCGAAGAATATCATATCCACAACATAGCTTTAATAAAGCAGTCATAATCTAGATAATTATCACGGATGTCCTGCGAATCTAACTTGCGCCACTCGTGAACAGATCTCGCTCGCCCTGGAAATCCTGGCGGGGCGCACCGAAGCTGTGACTTCAATGATTGATAGGTGCATGTATCCGACAAGTAGAGACTCCGATGAATCGATTCATTTCTCCATCGTCGATTAGTTAGTTGTGCTCGCACAGTAGTCGATTGTCTGAGAAAGCCACGAGACCCATGTTTAGGTGTCCGATCTACCGATTTGTTGTTGTCTTCAGGCGTTGAGGAATCTGATGTGCTTCCGCTCGATGCATTGATGAATCGTTGCTTTCTTTTCCACTTCATCACATTCAACGAAGCTGTTGACAGTGATGCTGAGTCTCGCGTTTCAGTAAGACCAGATATTGCACCTGCTTTGCGTACCTGCGAGGCGGTCGTCTCCTGCCCACCTTTCGAACAGGGCCGCAATCACAGTATCGAGGGAGGTTACACATAACGAATACAC